CTGTGCACAATTCAGTCTCAAATAGTCTTTTTATATTAATGCTTAAGAGCATTTGTAAGGAAAAAAAGTGCTTACTACCCACTGTAGTCACACAGTAGCCTCGACCTATCTCTCCAGAGCAACACTCTCTGCATTTTGACCATGCTACAGGTTCATGGAGGAATACACAATGTAACGGATCGCCTGGCACCCCGACTGGGTACCTCCGTTAAAGGATGCTCCTAGCGCTTCCTGAGGACTCCAAGCACTGCAGCAGACACCACAACCACTGAACCGGAGAAGCATATGAATCCTCTCAAGCATATGAATGCTGTAGACAGTTGAATAGGAACCATACGAATAGGTTTACTCTCCTAGCAGTCAAACTGGAACAGCATACAATAAATCCTTCCCCCAATAATGAGACGACACTTCACTTTGAGGGTTAAGCAGGAACTCCCTGTACTGTCACATACAGTCTCTTTTATTCCCAATCCACAAACATAGTACAGCCCACAGGGCGTTACAAAACAACCAATCACATCACAGTTACATCCCACATATTCCCTCCCCTTATCCTGAGAGGAAACTCAATTATACATACAGTTAAAACATACTTTCTACCCAACTTTCATAACTCCAAAACCATACATCACATTCACATAAAATTACATATTCACAATCAATCCATTCAGGGGAACAACATATTCAAAAATGGCACAAATCAGACAAGGGGTTCAAAAGTTAGTAAAAAGTCCTTTGTGACTAAATGAAGCATGGCTTTTTGGCCCAAACCAGTTTCAGAGTCTTCTATCCTGGAGATAAGTAATTCAATTATCTCCCAGGACAGACACAAGACTCCATTAAGCACATGGTTGCAAAAAGACACAAAACACTTTAAAATACATAAAGTCACATTTTATACATAAAACACAGACATGTCACATATCCCCAGATAGCTGGGATCTGAGCGCACAAAACTACCAAATAGCGCTCAGATCCTATTCACACAGTTCAATTGCCATGGAGCCGAAGTCTTTAACTACACGAATGGGCTCCATGGCATAGCTATCTGGGTTAATACCTTCACATAAAGTCTGGTCCATAGTCCAAAGGCAAGAGGCGGGCAAGCAGCCCCCTCCAAAGACACGTGGCGAGGCCGGTTTCGCCACACACAACAACCTTTTTCTTTTTTTTGCAGGGGAACCTTAACGTGACCGTGTACTAGCCTGCCTAAAGGTGGGCTTGATTGCTGATATCAGAATATCTCTAATGTTACATATTACATACATAAGAGATGTTTTGAGTGATACAAACTGTGTTATAGAAACACTAGGAATGCACATGTGTATTTCTAACGCTATAATGTCCTACTCACTGTTAATTGGTCGCCCCTACCCATAAGGAGTACAATTTACTTAATTTTCTCCCTCAACATGGTACTGTTTTCCTCCTAGGCCCTGCCTAAAACATGGATCTTCTCTTAAATATTTCAATAAAAGTTATGTTTTAAGGAAATCTGAGAGTGCAGCCATATATATATATATATATATATATTATTGATACATTTCTTCTTCTAATTCAAAATATTAGTTCTTTTAGGGTAATTAAATTATACAGTAAAGTACTCACACACAGACACAGACAATCTTACTGATGCACACAAATAGGCTCATTGACAGACAATCTCAATGACATACACAGACAAGGTTACTGGCACATACACAAATTTAGTACAGACAAACCCTGGTACACACACAAGCTTACTACAGACAAGCTCACTGTCACACACACACGCTTACTACAGACAAGCTTACTGACACACACACATGCTCACTACAGACAAGCTCACTGACACACATATGGTCACTACAGACAAGCTCACGATCACACTCATGCTTACTACAGACAAGCTCACTGTACACACATGCTCACCACAGACAGGCTCCGACACACCCATGCTCCTTACAGACAAGCTCACTAACACCCACACATATGATCCCTACAGACAAGCTCACTGACACACACACAAGCTCACTCACTAGCAGGCACACACACACAGAGGTTCCCTCACTAGCAGATGCGCGCGCACACACACACACACACACACAGAGGTGGACAGTCACTGACACCAAGGCAAACATCCACACATACAGAGACAGGCAGACAGCCACACACACACACAGGCAGACAGTCAAACACACAGGCAGACAGCCACATACACAGGCAGACAGCCACAGCTCACACACACACACATGCAGACAGTCACACACTCACTGGCAGAGAGTCACACACACACACACACACACAGTCACACACAGGCAGACAGTCACACAGACAGACAGTCACACACACACACACACACACACAAGTAGACAGTTAAACACACACAAAAGCAGACAGTCTCACACACACAGTCACACACAGTCACATGCAGACAGTCACAGACAGACAGTCACACACACACACACACACACACAGTCACACACTCACAGACAGTCATACACACACAGGCAGTCTAACACAGACACACTGACTTGCTTCTTAACTCCTGCTTGGAGCTCCTGGAAGCTGGTTGTTGGGGAAGCTTCAAATGCTGCAGTTAGCCAGGCCCCTGCTGCACGCTAAGCCCCACCCCCGCTACAAAATTTATTTTTTTATTTTTTATGATCCCGTCCAGCCATGTGTGAGCTGTGCCGGCCACCTGGCTCCCCCTGCTCCCAGGGGGCTCTGTGCGGCCACACAGCTCACACATGGCCGGTCGGGATTACAGCTATCAGCCCAGTCCCAGGTGCCGCTGCCCACAGGGAAATTTCCCGGTATCCCGGTGGGCCAGTCCGTCCCTGATTTCAAGATACATTTTGGTTCTCAATCAAAGGGGGGAAAAGAAATGGGAATCACTACAGAGAGCATTGATACTTTCTTGTGAAACTACTAAATGGCTTTAATTTATTCAAAATACAGAAAGCATCACCACACACTTAAATGAAAATATAAAGACCTGGTCTTGTCAAATGATCTAATCTAACCGTGATAGTAAACGAAAAGGTGCTTGAGTTGGTAGCTGATGGGGCTTCATGACATAAAACTAACCACAAAAAAATGTCTATTCTAAGAGTGCTTATTCCACAACAAATAAAAACTTGCATTAGGTAACTCAGTGTCTGTCCTCTTCTAAGCATAAAACAGGCTCATTCAGTGAATACCATCAAGAAGTGAATGACAATTTTAAGACAAAGTAGCAATTTACACTTTACACTCAGTGTTTTAGTAAAGTAGTGTATAAAGGAATCATTTTTAATTTATTGCAAAAATTTTTAATAAAATTACTGGCAAATTTTCATTGATCCTAACTTTTGTCAAACGTCTGCTTTGTTATAGTAGAATTTGGTAGAAATAACATAACTAGAAAAGCTACAATATCTGGGGAAATTGTGTGAAGTGTTCTTGCCTCCACCAGTAGTCTACAACTGGAGTGGGCGGAGTAACTGGGTGGAGTGGGCGGAGTAACTGTTGTGTGGTTGGAGTGGCTGGAGTAACTGTGGAAAGGTTGGAGTGTGGTTCACTCACTCTACAGCAAGGGCAGAGAAGAGCTTTCAAATCTTTCAAATCCCTCGAACATTCCACCAACTGCCAACAGGAACTAATAGATTTCAAATAGGGCAGAGAAGAGCGGTTAAAAACAAACTGCTCCAAATTGCTCACTTCATTGGCGGTTGCCATCTTCAAACGGTCGTATTTTAAAAACTATAAATCCTACAGTGAATATTGTGAGAATCACAAGACCTAGACCTACATTTTGATGACATGCATAGTATGTCTCTGAAATATTAAAAATGAAGGCAAAGTCACAGTTTAGAGATTGCCCTTCAAATTTGAGGTGGCAAGAGTGGAGTTTCAATGAATGTCAATGGACGGCGAGAGTTGTACACAAATGGTCATATTGTGAAAACTATCAGGACTATGGCTTAGCTGTGGACATGTTTAGTGGCAGCAGGGATAGCTGAACGTTTTGATATAAGACTTGTGTAGGTGGGCCTGAAAATAAGGGAGTGGTGGCAATTTAGAAATCATGTCCTGATTTTTCAGCTTTTGCCAGCTCCCACTCTAATTTTGAACATTTCACCATTAATTCCTATGGAACCAATTTCGCCACAAAAACGACAATATTCCGTGCACCATTTGGCGAAACGTTCCACAAAGTAATAGCAATCCAATCGGGAATATTCCGCACGTTTCGGTATATTACTGTCTATGTAGTGTAAAAACTGTGGGAGGAGTTAGAGTGGTAAATTTGGCTATAATAAGAATAATTTATATGTAAGATAATATTAAGTGGTCTTGCTATGCAAGAACACCTAATAATATATATGTGAGATAACACTAAGTGGTCTTGCTATGCAGGAACACTTAATAAACACCTACATGCCTATTCATGCTGCATATATATATGTAAAAAAATATTTTTGAAAAAAAAATTCATAGGCGTATCATTGGTAAAATGGAATTATATATAGTTTTGTGTAAAACAATTACAGATTATAATTGTTTTCCCAGTTAAGCTATTGATTAAAATGAACATTTGCTTCAATACTTCTCAAAATAATTTAAATATTTAAATTACGCATCACGTAAACGTGCCTTTTTTAAAGAATATATATATATTCATTCAGAAATGCACATTTATATTATTAGCTATAGCAAATAATTAGACTGTCTGATAACACACCTTTCTCCAACAAAGCACTTAAGGCCTCTATATTTAGTGTTTCTTTGCCGGTTACACCCTTAGAAAATCCTGTCTATCCTCTGGGAACATATATTGAGTTAAAAACTATGTTTTTTTCTGTTATATGTAAAATATACCACACCCCCTCTTACAACCTACTCATGATATATACATATATAAATATTATTCTAAATATCTAGATATACACAGAAAGGTCTGGACGTGACTCTGTACAACTTTAACCCTTGTACATTGGATTCCCGTAAGCCAGGCAACAAAAGGGACCTTCAATATGAAGATTTCGGGGGCCAGTAAAATGTTTCATCTTGGGGTCATCATTCTTCTTATAGCTGGTAAGCATGATTTTGAGGCATAAAGAAAAATTTGAATTCATGAATACAGACATTTTGATATCTGTTCTTGCGTAGTTTAGAGGATAATATTTTCCAAACATCTACTAACCCTAGAACACAGTAATTTATTTTGAGGAAAAGGTCCATAATATTTAAGCACACATGTTGCTGTTGATGCCCCCTGAAAACACATTCTTCTCTCCAAAATAGCATTCTAATTTTCCATATTTCAAAAAACTATGCGTAAAAGGTCTAATAAACCTATTAGCATGAATATTCTGCTTTGTTGGAAAATCATGAAGTCAATTTTAAAGGTGGCAGCAAAACGTATCCATTCAACGAATTCCATATCTTTATGGTTATAACAGTTAAGAACTGTTTAATCTGCTGTATGTAAAATCTATTTCCTTTAAGTTTCAGTGCAAGACCTCTTCTTTAAGGACACATGACATGTGTGACATGTCATGATTCCCTTTTATTCCAGAAGTTTGGTCCTTAAGGGGTTAAGAAACAAGGACCTTTTTAATGAAGTTTTGGCATTGGCTTTTAAAAAATCAGCCTTTATAATAGGCAGCAAAAAAAATATATTTTTTTCAAAAAATGTATCATAGGTGTATCATAGGAAAATTTAATTTTATATAGTTTTGTGCAAAAAAAAAATGACAGATTAAATTTTTTTTTCCCAGTTAAGCTATTGATTAATATGGACATTTGCTTCAATACATTTCAAAATAATTGTAATATTTAAACTACGGATCACGTAGCGTCAACACCCAAATATATAGAAACTTAACTAATACTGTAAAATAAAAAGCACAATGATGTTTGTTCACTAAACAGAAAATAAAGAACAAATAACAAGGGAATTGAAAATTTAGGGTAGAACGGATCGTACTGGTTTACATTACGGAAATATTTCTGTATAAAAATTGTGCATTTTGAAATAAAGATGAAGCATTAATCACAGCTAATGACAGAGATGTATTTTATTCTTTATATAAATGACCATACATTATGACAAGGCAAACAATGTAAAACGAGTGCATATTTAACTATGGCGAAACGGGGGATACTCTGTTTAAGTGCAAGATGGTGTCCAAACGATGAAATTGAAATCCCCAAGTTATTTTGTCAACCTTTAAGCCCTTAAGGACACATGACATGTGTGACATGTCATGATTCCCTTTTATTCCGGAAGTTTGGTCCTTAATGGGGTTAAAATTGTAAAGCACCCTGGAAGGTAAAATATCTGATTTGGAAAACGTAGGTTGGCTATTGACTAATCAACTCACTCTTTTGTCATTTAATTAATAGATATATCTGTAGCTTTCTATTTGCAGAAGCATAGTTCATTTTTATCAATCGGCTGATATTACTAGACATGGTTTGGAAGACATGGGCCTTTGTTTAGTATTTGATTATCTTGGCAATGCCTCCTGGAACATAAATTAATCCAGGCTTATTTATAGCGGCTTGTGGTTTTTCTTTTCTGGTTTATTTGATATCTTTACAGTATCTCTCTTTGCATATGAATTGTTTCGAAACACGATCTTTCATATTACTGAAAAAGAAACTGGACAAGTTTATAAGGCCATCAAAAATATATATATTTAAATTTTTCTCTACCGTATTTATATTTTGCCAGACTCTAGAGATATAGATACAGTAAATAGAGATATAGTGTTTTTATATCTTGCTCTGCTGGGAATAGGGACCAGCGGCTCCAAACCACCAACTTGCTTTTGAAAAGAGTCAGTAATATGGATAGACTGATAATTCCACTGCTAGCTTTCACTCATGGCTTGTCTTAGTAACTTCCACTCACTGTAACAAGAAACTGTAAGACTGCATCCACAGATTTGTTTGCACCATATCCACTGTTCAGAGCTCCAGTGGTTATGGTGTTTGAAATGGAGATATATCTCATTTGTAGCAAGCTATCAAGTTTCAATGAGGACCGGACGTTGAACCATTGAGTGACCGCTAATGACAATAATATATCAATAAATAATTAAATATAACATATCAAAAGATCAAGACCAGCTCATTTAGACAACCCAGAGACTGGGGAATAAGTATCTAGATTTGCCTAAATTACATTAAATATATGCTCATAAAAACCTAGTTAAAAATCTTGTTCGTCGGTTTTTTTGGCTTTTTTTTTGTTGTTTTTATTTGTTTTTTATCAGCTACTGGTATATGAATCAACAGATATATTGTGATTTCCTTGAGCATATAAAACCTAAATTAGGTGCGCCTGTTATTGTTGCTTAATGTTTCCCTGCAAAGTATAGATACAAATAGTTCAGTTCCACCATCTTCATATACTTACTTGAACTTTTAGTTAGCTAAAAAATACAGAGTTGTTAAGTATTACCAATTACACCTCCATGTAGTTGTTCTCTAAAGCCATATCCTGAAAGTGAATTCTGGGAGCTGTAGTACTGAAATATTTGAAGGCCAGTGTTCCACAACCCTGCTACAACATTTTAGAGACATTATGATACAGATATTTTTATTAGTGATATTGCAGAAGGTCTTGATGGTAAGGTATGTCTTTTTGCTGATGATACTAAAATATGTAACAGGGTTGATGTTCCAGGAGGGATAAACCAAATGACAAATGATTAAGGTAAACTAGAAAAATGGTCGGAATTGTGGCAACTGACATTTAATGTGGATAAGTGCAAGATAATGCATCTTGGACGTAAAAACCCAAGGGCAGAGTACAGAATATTTGATAGAGTCCTAACCTCAACATATGAGGAAAGGAATTTAGGGGTGATTATTTCTGATGACTTAAAGGTAGGCAGACAATGTAATAGAGCAGCAGGAAATGCTAGCAGAATGCTTGGTTGTATAGGGAGAGGTATTAGCAGTAGAAAGAGGGAAGTGCTCATGCCATTGTACAGAACACTGGTGAGACCTCACTTGGAGTATTGTACACAGTACTGGAGACCGTATCTTCAGAAGGATATTGATACCTTAGAGAGGGTTCAGAGAAGGGCTACTAAACTGGTTCATGGATTGCGGGATAAAACTTACCAGGAAAGGTTAAAGGATCTTAACATGTATAGCTTGGAGGAAAGACGAGACAGGGGGGATATGATAGAAACATTTAAATTTATAAAGGGAATCAACACAGTAAAGGAGGAGACTATATTTAAAAGAAGAAAAACTACCACAACAAGAGGACATAGTCTTAAATTAGAGGGACAAAGGTTTAAAATAATATCAGGAAGTATTACTTTACTGAGAGGGTAGTGGATGCATGGAATAGCCTTCCAGCTGAAGTGGTAGAGGTTAACACAGTAAAGGAGTTTAAGCATGCGTGGGATAGGCATAAGGCCATCCTAACTATAAGATAAGACTAGGGAGTAATGAAAGTATTTAGAAAATTGGGCAGACTAGATGGACCGAATGGTTCTTATCTGCCGTCACATTCTATGTTTCTATGTTTCTATGTTTCTATGTTTCTATGTCTATGTTTCTATGTTTCTATGTTCTATGTTTAGATTGTGTTTCCCCTTTAAAGTTGTCTTTATAGAAAGCATGTTAGCTTCTCTAAGATACATACAGAAGAGAATCCAGTAATTAACTTATACATGTTTTTTTTCTAGTTTCTCCTGCCAAATGCCAGACTTCCAGCACCTCTTCGTTAATCAGCACTCTTGATCAACTCCTAGCCGCTCTTCTCAAACTTAGCCAAGCACTCAATGCTTCAACTACCACAAAAGCGCCAGCCACAACTCTGGCCATCACCAATGCCAGTACTGTGCCAATCACTACCAGTAGCACAGGAACATTCACTACTGCATTGACCAATAGTGTTCCAACATCGACCAGTAATACAGTGATTAATACATCTCAACCAATATCAGCCGTTAGCACTGGAACAAAGTCTAGTACTGGGAGCAATAGCCTCCTAAACAGTTCTCCAGGAACCATCGCCACTGTCAGTAGCCCCCCAGCATCAACCAGTTTTCAGGGAATCACTGTCACCTCTGGTAGCAGCAACGTACTAGGATCAACTAGTTCTCCAAAGATCACTTCAGTTCCTGTTGGTACCGGCATCCCAGCATCGACCAGTAATCCAGAAACTATTTCCAGTAAAAACAATAATGGCCCCTCTGAAACAACCACCAACCCAGTGACTATTCTACCTCAAAGCAATAGTACTTTGCCAGCATTAACAAGTAAAACATTAAACAATGCTACCAATAGCCCATCTGAGGTTAATAGTAGCCCAGTTTCTAGTACTGCCAATAATGGATCAACCATAACCAATAAACCATCGGTGAGCACCAACAGTTCTCAGATAAGCAGTCAACCATCACAGCTCAACACAACCACATCTTCTGGTACCAGGATCCCTAGCCAATCAGCAACATCTAGTAAGGCTAGCATTAATACTGTAACCACTAACACAGCTTCTCCTGATCTCTTAACCAGTGGTCAGACAGCAAGTAATACAATTACCGCTACTGTTAGTAGCACAGGCACCCCATCTACCACTAACATCAGTAGCAAGTCAACAACCAACAATGGATTTACTCCAACCAGCGCCACAACCGGCAGCCAAACGGCAACAACAACTCCATCTACTACCACCAGTAAGAGCGCATCTCAAACCACAGTTAATAACGGGAATACATTGTGTAAGTAAAAAGTGACAAAGACAGACAGACAGATGAACAGACACATAAACAATATCCTTAATGTTCTTCTTTTTTAGCCCCAACAGTGGGAGCAACCACTGCCTTTCCAGTGTGGGCCATTGTCCTCATTGCATTAGCAGCTTTCATCGGAGCCCTCCTCCTGGTGACCCTCGTCGTTGCTGTGAGTATTTTACATATTCACAGACTGACACATAGGCACATACACAAACATAGACATACACACACACACATACAGATACATACACAGACAGACACGTACACACACACAGAGACATACACATTCCTTAACTCTGAATCACCGTCTGACAAAACAAACAAAACACTCAATGGGAATTAATTTGTTTCATGAGAGAGAGATTTAGATATTATGTATTAAATATATAATTAAATATAGATGTATTTACTGTTCCACCTGTTTTTCCTTTTATTGTTACTTTTTCTAACTTCTGTGAATCAAATGGATAAAAAATGTGTCATGTACTGCAAATTCTATATATAACAATTATAATAATTAATATTAATTATAGTAAACAATGATTGGCCGATCATCATTTTGATTTGTCTGAACTGGGTTTTTTTCTGAAATGATTTAATGGATGATAGTCATTTGAACTGAATTGCCAAACTCAGTCCACCCCAAAAAAATAAAAAATTCAAACGAATAGATTCGGCCAATCAATTTTTTTTTTGCTAAGATTTTTTATTACTCTTTTCCATTTGTATGTCTTATTATGTCTTATTAAGTAAACACAGTTGTTTTTTATTTTTTAATCCATTATTTTGCACTTTTTTGCTGATGTCTAAGCAAAACACTACATCTTTTTAGCATCCTTCCTTCCTATGTCAAGGAAACAAATCTGCGATGTTCAATCAGCTAATGATATCTGTGTTTCAAAAAGTTAAAAAAAATCCAGTGTTTTAACTCTTAATGTGCCTACAAGCTAGCAATACAGTGTACATTAAAGGGCTATAGAGGACACACCATGAAAATATCTCCTAAGTATCAGTTGGGATTAATGTTAAAGATGCGCCTGATTTCTAACTAATTCAATTTTAATTTATTTCATTAGATTGCACATATGGCAAAAACAAAGAAACCGAGCCGTTCCACCACTTACCATGTCAACCAAGCAACAGTGTGAGCAGTATTGCAGATTCCGTGGCTTCTCCAGAAACATGTTACTACATAACCGATAAATGCTACGTCCCCCAACATGGTTTAATGGGTGACACCCTCTGGGAATCTTTCAGGCTACAAAAACAAAACTCACCGCCACTCTCTTTAATACGCACGTTATCAGAGCTACCTAATCATGTGTAAATTGTCTGGGATTCAAAAGTGAATCTAAAGTGGATTTTAGGTCAGACTAGTCGATTGGAAACATTCTCAAAGTCAACTATGTTTTAAAGGGACACTATAGTCTCCGAAACAACTTTAGCTTAATGAAGCAGTTATAGTGTGTCGATCATCCACCTGCACTTTTACTGCTCAATTCTCTGCCATTTAAGAGTTTAATGACTTTTGGTTCTGTTTATGTAGCCCTAGCCACACCGCCCCTGGCTTAGACTCACACAGACGGCATGGAAAAGAAATGGTTTCACTTTCAATCAGGTATAATTTACTTTAAATGATTTTATCTCTTGCTCTGTAAATTGAGCTTTAATTGCATACAGGAGACTCCTGCAGGTCTAGCAAGCTATTAACAGAGCAGGAGATAAGACACTCTAAATTAAACAGAATTTACACTAAAGGAAGTATAAACATTAGATTACCCTTTGCAGGAAGTGTCTAGGAAGGCTCCGTAAGTCACATGCAGGGGGGTGTGACTCGGGCTGCATAAACAATGTGATTAACCTCCTAAATGGCAGTGAATTGGGCAGTGAGACTGCAGGGACATGAGCTGTACACCAAAACTGCTTCATTAAACTAAAGTTGTGTTGGTGACTATAGTGTCCATTTAAGTTCAAATATTGTGGCTTCAAATGTGAAATCCACATTGAATTCTCATTTTAGTGAATAAATCTTCTTACAGAATCATGAAACAAAGTGACTTCATATGTTAATTTTACACGCTGTGCCCAGTGATGTATTTAAGTTTTATTGTGGAAATGTAACTGATCTACATTAAGGCTGCTGCTGTTAAATGTCCCTCCTCCCCTCCGTGTACACACACACACACACACACACACACACACCTTGTATAAAAAGTCAGGCAGTAGGGTTACAGCATGACATTTAGGAGACTGGAGATCCACTGGTTGCTTGCCATTGGTTGTTGTAGGGCTGAGCTGGATAATGAAACAGGTTTTTGCAATAAATGTATGAAATTCACAGTCAAGAAAGGGTGGGCTTAGTGAAGTGATTAGTGAAATAATTAGAAAATTCTAACTATTAATACATTGTCCTCCAATAAATTGCTCAGGCAAAATCATTTCAACTATTTTTTTCTAATCAATAAAGATTGTTACACACATGAGTAATTTAAATATTTTATATATTCTATATAAAGCACACTGTGCACACACTAGCATTTTGTCACTTTAGTTGAGAGTTTGTATACAAATTATCCCAAATAGAGAACCTTATAATATGTATCACATATACAGACAAGCAGATGTACAGAGGGCTGGACAGACAGACAGACGGACATACAGATCTATATTGGGCTGGACAGACATACAGATATATATTGGGCTGGACAAACATACAGATAGATAGATAGATTGATTATACATAGATGGATAGATAGATAGATAGCGTTAGATTGATTATACATAGATGGATAGATAGAAAGATATACAGAACTTCCCCTTCCAATGGTGGGACACCGCTATTAAATACCTGGGGGTGAGGCTCACGGCCGACCTATCCAAACTATACCATATGAACTTCACCCCACTGCTGGGAACCATATGGAAGAATCTGACAGAATGGGCCACACCTCACTTTTCCTGGCTTGGCAGGGTTGCCATTGCCAAAATGAACATTCTCCCACGGGTCCTCTACCTATTTCAGACACTACCAATCCCACTCCCTACCACCTTCTTCGCAGCACTCCGCACCCTCCTCATTAAATTTATCTGGAAGGACACTAAACCCAGACTCAAGTACACACAACTCACACTCCCCAAAAAAGCAGGAGGCCTGGCCGTTCCTGACCTCAAACTGTACTACCAAGCATGCCACATGCAACGGGCCCTGGAATGGGCAAAAGAGGGGATTAGCAAACCCTGGAAGGCCATCAAAACCCACCACGCAGGCAGGCCCCTTTCAGCCCTTCTGTGGCTGGACCCCTCGACGGGTCGGCGGTTAGTCTACCAACAACCCTCCATAACCGTCACCTTAACCATATGGCACACACAAGCGAGGAAACTACACCTCTCCTCCTTCCCATCCCCACTACTACCTCTGGTGTACAACCCGGACTTTGAACCGGGAGTAAGACCAGGAAACCTCCGCTGCGTCCTCCCACAAAACATACCCAGACTCCGAGACATGACTGCCAATGGGAAAATCTTGCCCCTACAGACGCTCACGGGCACACCCACCCACCCCTTCATGATGACATTTAGATACACCCAAATTAAGAACTACATCACCGCGATACCACAACACCCCGACGAATATAGGGACCTCACGCAATTCAAACAGTTGTGCCAGGACCCGGAGCCCATGCCCCATAGCATTTCCCACCTCTACTCTATGCTACAACGACAACAGGGACAACCCCCACCCTCCCTCATGTCCAAATGGGAGACCGCCATGGGAGAAACACTCACCGAGACCCTGTGGCACAAGATCTGCGACCTAGTGCACCACTGCGCAATTGCTAGCAAAACGCAGGAAACGGCCTACAAGGTCCTCACACAATGGTACTTGACACCAGAACGCTTACAGAGAATGCACTTAGACACGGACGGCCTCTGCTGGAGGTGCAAGAGAGGGGTAGGATCCTTCCTCCACATATGGTGGGAATGCCCACTCATAGTACCGTTCTGGGAGAAAATAGCTGCCATGGTGGCCCTGTTCACGGACAATGTTCCACCCTTCCAGCCTTCCCCGTACCTCCTGCACCACACGACAACCCCCACACCACGCCACAAAAGCTCCCTGACCATCCGAATTCTTAATGTCGCAAAACACCTAATACCTTTGTACTGGAAAAAAGACACAACCCCAACACTTTCCCTGTGGTTTACTAGAATGGTGGAGTTACGAGTAACAGAGGAAATCTGGTATTCAGCCCAAGACCGAATGCAGACATACTTAGACACATGGACACCCTGGCTGGCACGGGTGGGAACGAAGGCATTTCGGACTGTGCATTTGACCATGGGGGGAGGAACTGACGACCCCCAGGAGGAGACACCAGGAGCCTAACGGGACGACCCACACTTGGCCCAAGACGCAGTACCTCACCCCCTGTCAGGTCCGGATGGAGCACGGGGGCCCGGGGGACCGACCCCTCAGGGGTGTGCTGGGGGTTATGATACCTGTCGGGGTGCGGCCACCTGCAGTGCCCAAAACTGCCTACGGCCCCGCGGGTACGGGGGGTGGAAGAGTGCCAGTTCCGTGAGCTACAAATTTTATTAGTTTAGAAGGAAACGCAGGATGCCCCTTAGGTTATTCCCATCAACACCATGTGGGCAGAGCCGAATTGTACCAAAGTAGGGGGTCAACACCCCACTATACCACCATTCTGGACCCTAGACATGAGGTCGCAAGGAGGCTGCATGTCCTGATGGGACCCTGCACAGTAGGTGTCCCACATGTCCCACTACTGCATGGTGGCTACAGGGTGGGCATGGGGGAATAGATGAAAATTGGCAGGACATACAAAACTACCCAACTTAGAAAAGGTACACGTCAGATATAACAGAGTACTATTCGTAACTATGCACACATCTATTACTCAAGAAAGCGACCTGCGAGTCGCCAAGACACATCTGACAGACTATGCCCACGATGTATAAGCATGTACAAATGACCAAAGGGACCTGCATGTCCATGTTTTTTTGTTCCATGTTGATAACAAACGGAAAAAAATAACGAAATGTTCAATAAAAACATATTTACAAAAAAAAAGAAAGATATAGAGAGAACGTTAGATAGATTGATTATACATAGACGGATAGATAGATGGATAGATAGATAAATTATATATAGATGATAGACAGATAGATAGATTATCCATAGATAGATAGATAGAGTACACCAATTACAATAATGCAATTTTTCTATATCTATGATAAATTTCCCTAAATTTGACACATTTGATGGTAATTTGGGATATTGTTCTGTGTGAAAAGTTCAATGTGTAACATACTAACTGCTAAACCATTTATAAATAAATACATTAATAAATTATTTTTGGATCTGTGTCGTGTTTTGTATAAATGTAGACTGACTCTATGAGACTGTACAGGATGCGTTTTTGATTTGCCCAAAAACACATTGGAGACGGGTTGCTGGAGACTCTCATTTAGCATTAAAACTTTAAAAAAGTGTAATACTCAATGGAAAGAGCACACGAGGGGATTCCAGACACTATAACCACTTCAATGATATGAAATAGTTACAGTGTCGAAAAAACAAGGAAAAAAATTATATAAATACATATATATCTATCTATATATATATATATATATATAGATAGATATATATGTATGCACTGCATAAGATGGATTCTTAAAGAGTAATTCATTTATTTAATTTATGTATTTAGTTTTGGACATTGATATACTATCATTATTTGGCATCTGCAAAGGATTAGTGAGTTTCATCTGGCAAATAAATCAAATGCCATACTATTTTTGTCATAAAGTATAATTCTCTCTTTTAAAATGTTTTCAAGCTGTTTGGTTTTAATGAAGCAATCATACACTAGGAGTGCGTCACTAATCCTGTGTTCTCTTCATAATGAATAGTATAATATTACAGGTAAATATTTTATGACTCCATCTCCCACCACTTAGAATGATAGATATGTTTATCTAGCACTCCTAAGCCATCGCCTGCATGGGACGTTTGCATAAGATGGATAGACTCCTTACTGCAATATTTGGTTTAGGAGTGGTAGAATGTAATATCAGACATTTAGCAATATTTAATTAGTTAAGTTAGGACAGTCAAAATAATTTT